GAGTAGGAGTTGGAGTAGGAGTAGGAACGGGAGGAGGAGGAGGTTTTCAAGTATTAGTGTTGTTGTAAATCCTGTACCGTATTTTCCGGCAGTAGTACTGAGTACTGTGCAAGTCCTGCAGTTGTATCCTAATGTCGAGCAGTGCTCTCGCAGAGCTGCAGTACTTCTCAGCGAACCCAACGAGAACCCCCTACGTGATGTCGCTCACATGCCACACTAATCAGCACAAGCACAGTAGAGTGGAGGTACTCATCAAGTTCCTGTGCACCCAGCCGAAATTAAACAAATACCGTCGTGGTCGTGAAGAAATTTGATAGCCGAAAGAACACTTATAATGTTCGTAGTGGTCTGAAATCGGCCATACCTCTAACCAGCACAGAAGCAATGGCCATACAGTATCAGGCAGTACAAGGTGATAGTGGTGATGTTACCGGTGGTTTGGGTGATGATGGTGGGTGTTGGTGTCTTATCGATAACTTATCGTTGGTCCAGTGATGACCAGTGCCACCGGCATCCTCGTCATCCAGTAAGCATCATCATCATCAGCACCACCGGCATCATCTTCATCATGACTATCATTATCGTTGACGATGTCATATCTATGACATTGCAATCGTGACCGTCCACCCACTCCCCGCCATCAGCAGCTTAAGCGGCCTGTGCTGTGCGCTCTGTACGCATGCCATTCCACCATTGCAAGTCTGGCATAAGCACCGAAACTCCATCCGGCAGCCACCGCAACTCGCCACGCGGTCCAGGAACACTTCGAAGTGGGTGATCTTGGAAAACCAGTGGGAACGGTGGTGGCAATGACGCTGATGATGCTGATGCCTTTAACAGGGCTGATCCTGCTGGGTTCCTTCCCGTTTACATGTTTGCTCTGTTCATCTTGCTAGATTTGGACGACAGCACTCTGAAGAAGATCCGACTAGGAAGAATCACAGAATAAGACTGTCAAGGAGCATGACAAAAGCAATGATACTGCAAGCTAGATTTCGTAATCTGACTGGGAGACCGTCTAGCCCTGGTGCAGATTGAACAGATCCTGTGCCACAGCAGCTGTGCCTTCTGCGTGGGGACGTGCGGTGCCTATAGCCTTCACACGATGGCCGTATCCCAGCAGGTCCATGGATGCTGAAAGTGAGAGCTGGAAAACTCAAGAGCACAATGTTTTGCTCATCTGTCGGCCCTGGTCCTGCCTCCAAACCCGAAGCCCAGACTTTAAAGCCTCCGAGTTGGTGTTTCACGTTCATGGAGTTCAGGCATCCGAGTTTCTTGTCAAAGAGCCGGAATGTAGCTCTCAGTATCTGTCGGCCTAATGTGTCCCTGTGTGGGTTCAGGTCTTGTCATGTGGACCTGTAAACCCTGTAGCTGCAGGAGTGGCAACTGGAAATTCGGTTTCGATAGGAGCAGGTTGCAAGATAGTTTTAGAAGAACCTTCGCTCGCAACACATAGTCATTATCCCCCCTCCCCAAACACAAGGCACGTCGCAATCGTTAGCAGAGGCTGGAGGGCAACTGCGCCGTGAGTTGCAACCAGGGCCGCCTGCTGCAGAGCCGTCTCTGCCTCATCTCACGGAGCTTTCTGTAAGCTTTTGAAGCTTCGTGCTTGCCATGCTGTGAGTGGGTTCTCTGAGGTCGGTGTTTTCCACTGTCCTCTGTGTTTGTTCTGTTTTATTTTCGCTTCTTTTGAGACTTATGTCTACAACTTTCACCACCTACAATACTCTATATCATATCTGGCTGTGAATTCCCAGCTCCGTTTTGGCATGCCTGGTTGCTTGCAAATCAATTTGATGAGCATCAGTTTGATGAGCCCAGGATGCGCCCTGTTTCATTCGGCGGCTATAGAAGTTTTCCTCTCACTAGTTGCCATGTTGCACTCCGCAGTGCCCACCACATAGGGGTATGTCAGTACAACGAAAGGAAAAACCAGCGCCGGGATAGATGTGGGGAGCTGGCGCAGTCAGGCACGTTTTACCTGTTTCTGTTGAGGTCTATCTTCCGGGCTGGATTCTCCGGCAGCACACACGACACGGTTCATCTTGGTTCACTTGTTCACCGTGGTCCTCGAGAAGCTCTGCCGCGAAATGGGTCCCGATGTCTCCCGAGAGCCAGGCTTCGACAAGCATCCTAGCAATTTGGACCCTACTCCTTTCGCTGCTCGTCGGCTCAGTTAAAAGCCAGTTTGCCGTAGAGCCAGCAGCCATCCGCCCGAACGTGGCTCTGGCGGCACAGTTCTTTGCTGCCTTGGGCAAGGGATCTGGACTCCGGCGCGTTGGGTTTTGTGCAACCTAAGTAAGCCAATGGTCTTAAGCACTTTCAGCCCCAGATCATGAGTGAGCATGAAGGGAGTTCGTTTCGTGTCTGAGCTCCTGGATGGCGAGTGCAGTAGCACAGATCTCTCGCATCGTGTGCTTCGCCCGCATTCTGCAAAGCGCCGTCGAACCTGAAGCCCTGAGGTGTCGGAATCATGTGGTCTCAGCAGATCGGCCATACCCGCTCGAGTGACACCACCATCATCATGCGTGGTGTGCATCGTTCCCCAGACCTTATTGGCAAGATTGATATGCTCGGGCTTCGGAATTCAGGGGTTTGCGTGCAAGCCCTTGTTTACTTTCATCTCAGCCTGATGCCACGACTGTGGTGCCATTAAGGGTACGCTTTCGGTGCCAGTACCCAGCCGAAGAGCGAGAGAGAAACCCACCAACTTCGTCTACCGCAGGCTGTTATGCGATTGTCCATGTAGCCGCAGTCTTTCTGGACTGTGATGCTGCCACCCGTCTTTTGTATTTGAGGCGACTTTTGCCGTTCGTTGCTTGCTTGCTTGGCCGTTTATGTCCCTCGGTTGTGTCTTGTTGCAGGTAGACAGCTAGGTGCATTGTTCAGTACGTTCTTCTGCAGGATGTGACCCATATTTTAATCAGGAGCAGACGATAACACTCTAACATGCGGGTAACCGTCACGGCTCAAACCGCAGCACCATATCGGTGCAATGCAGGGTCGCGACCTTGACAGGTGATGCATGTAGGATGCTCTGAGAGAACCGGCTCACTGGACTGCTAAGTTTCCTTTGTTTCGCTTGCATTGAGAGGCATACTTTGGGTAGATAGACTCTCGAAGTCTTGAGAGAGTGTTGTCATCATTTATTTTCCAGCTTGAGGCTCAAGCACGACAGTGTTGGTTTGTTGGGCGCCAGGTCAGCATTCCGTCGGCATGTTTACCTCGCTCCTGCAGCAAACATGAGACTTGGCTGTTTGGCAAGAGCTTGTTTGGCTTGATCTCTCAGATGTGCCGAAGTCCGCAGCTCCAAATTCAGAGAACGTGAAGCTTCAGTACCCGAAGTATTCCTGTGTCTCGGAGTTGCTCTGTGGAAAGCTTTCGCAGTATGCGCTGCCGCCGAAGACATAGATAATTTCCTGTGTGCCTGTCCACTTCGATCCCCAAAACAGCGACATACAGCGACATTTACTCGGGGTTTTGGGCTAACATGTGAGGGTCGTGCCAAGTTTCCTTTGGCGGCCATGTTTCGTATCTTTGAACTTTGGCTGCTTCGGCATCTTCTCGGCAGAAAGTCTGACTCATCCATGCCGCTGTCATCCCGGCCGACCATACCAGCCGGCGGACTGTGTAACACATCGTCGACAGGGCGACAGGGGCTGCTATAACGTTTGTCGTTTGTGGCTATAGCTTCCTTTCGCTCTGTCCAGTTGCATCGAGCGCTCTCTTTGCCAGCTTCACGTGGCGCCTCTTTCTGTGGCGAGCTACAACGAAACTTGCGAACAAACAACCACAGCGTCTCCAGCCTCAAAGTAGTTTCAACAAGTGAGCCACGAGGGCTCGTTCGATTAGATTTCTCAGACATATTTCTGGGTGTTTTCTGCCAATCTTTATCCTCCGTGCCACACGTGAGGCAGCAAATCCCCGGAGCTCACGGCGTTGCTCGGCTGCCTAAAGCATAATCCAACTGGAGTTTCGGTTTTGTTTTTCTGAGAGGTGTTAGGCCCCGCCGTGAAGTTATTGGCTTGGCCATAACTAACAATCCACATCTTATTCTCCAAGGCTTCAACGTGAAAGGTGTGTGAGACTAGGGGATGTCTCAAGAGCCGCGAAATCTCCATGCAGTCCGGAACAGGTCGCATAGAATCCGAAGCTTTTCATGCAGTCGGTGTGATTCCACATGAGTTTTGAGGAGTGGTATGCACTTCACAGAGAGAAGTGCTAAAGAAGATCAGAACACCCAGAGCTGACCTCAGCTTTCTGAGAGCAAAAGGCCACATTTCCTAATCCCCTGTTTGGGATCCAGGAAGGTTTTGAAAAGAGCCATTTGGTCATGCGTTCTTAATAGAATAGAATTTGTTGTGTTATATTTGCACGTTATGCTTTACTTTGTCTTCTTGTATTGAGTACTACGCTTTGTGATGTCATGTTATGCTCTCTATGTTCTGTTCTGTCCTGTCCTGTTCTGTTATGTCAATGTTTCGTTGTGTTCTATTGCAGGGAAACATACTGTTACATCGTACTATATTGTTGCATTGTTGTTGTTTCATACTTTATTTTATACTGTGTTATATTATATTACGTTATTGGATGTTATAGTAGTTTATAGTACATTATAGTATACTATAGTGTATTATAGTATATTGTAGTATAATATAGTATATTATAGTATATTATAGTATAATATAGTATATCATAGTATATCATAGTACAGCATATTGTATTATAGTACATTATATTATATTTCGAGTTATTATGTTATAGTATCTTTTCATTAGGTTATGTTATATTATGGCATGGTATGCTAAGTTACATTGTATCATGTTATATTTTATCGTATGCTGTTATATTATTTTCTGCTATATCACACTAGGCTGTACTAAGTCACATTTTATGATGCTATATCATAATGTATCATTATATGCGATATTATACCTACCCATATTATACCATCTTTTCATATTATGATTATTTCATAGCACATGGTATAATGTTAAATGGTATCATGTTAAAAATATATGTTTTATGGTACTATGATATATTTTAGGTTTGAACTATGTAGTATACTTTATGTTTGTCCTTGTATTTCATCATGCGTTATAGTTTTAAAGTATATTCTATATTCATTTTCTGTATGTATTCGTATTCTGTATTATATTATTTTTATAAGAATAGAGTATGTTTTAGTATATAGATATATATCATGTTGTATCGAGTTGGATATTATGTTTCCTGTTTACATGATATTAGATATTACTTTGTATTCTGCATTGTTTAATATGTTGTATATTGAAACGTACAGTGTACTCTATTGTATTTTACATTCACCTTGTTGTTTGATTCAATATATACCATATATTGCGTATTACATATTATACATTATATTCTATTATGTCTTGTACTGTAGTATATGCTGTTCTATGTACTGTATTTATTATATTATATATTATATGTTGTATTTTGTATCTTGCATTTCAGTTTTTTCTATCGTACTACCTATCACACTGGGTTGTATTAGGTGCTCTTTTGTTTTTAATATGTTATGTTTTTATTGTATATGATATTTCATACTACTCTCATAGATCTTATCATGTAATGTTTTGCATTGTATATTTCGGTTATAATTTTATATATTTTGATTACATTTCTTCACATTCTGTATTATAAGACATTATGTTATATATTTTTTCATGACATCATGTTATACTGTGTTGTAGTATAGTATTTATCATTTTTATTCCACATAGGTTATTGTCTTACAGATATTCTCCATTTTTATAAATTTACTAGTTATTATACTGTACTTCACTCATACCATACTGTGCTATACTATACAATATTGTATCTTTGATATCCTCTTACATTCTCTTTCAGTTTGAGAACATAACATGTTGTAATATATTATATTGTGTTGTATTTGTATTGTATTGTATTGTATTGTATTGTATTGTATTGTATTGTATTGTATGCATTGTATTGTGTATTTCACTGTATCACACCGTATCTTATCATAGTATACGTTGTTGAATTATATTCTACTCTGTTATGTTCACTTTTTGTTTACTATATCATGTTCAATCATATCATGTTATATTCGATTAATTTGGAATCACTATTATATCATATCAAATTTCATTGACTTCCTAAGTACAGCTACAGACTCAACTGAACAATTCGTCGTAACGTTCGTGCGAAGCCTTACAACCCAAGATGGAGCAGGTAGCGCAGTCATTGCAAGCACAGCCCAAACTGCTACAACTACTAACCGTTCTTATTTGTACAGACACATAATCAGTGCACGCTTCGACCTGCTTTCAGGCCAGTCGTGTAGCCGACTCGACTCTGAAGAAAAAAAAAGCTCACATGAAAGAACAGCTCACATCGCGAATGCTGCAATCTCAATCAGAAGCCTAAGCCAGCCTCCAGGTTCAATTTTGTCTACCTTCCATGCGCCCGAGAGGACGACAATGTTAACCTTGGGTTAGCGTTCCGTGGCCGCATGTTCTGTACTCCACTATGACACGGTGCAATGAGGTCTGTCTGTACTTGGAGCAGCTAC